TATATATGTGTGTGTGTGTGTGTGTGTGTGCGCGCGTGTGTGTGTGTGTGCGTGTGTGTGTGTGAATTAAATATTTTTTTAGTCCTTATAATTTAAAAAAAATATAATTTTAGTTTTTATACTTAAATTTTATTAGAAAATTTGTTAAATATTCTCACATAAAATTTATTTACTAGTATTTTGTTAGTGATCAAAACATAACATTAAATCTAGTTGATTTTACATAATCTTTTCAATTTGTTACTTTTATATATGTTATTAGTAATCCAAGAAATTAAAATAAAATTTTACAAAGATTAAAACACAACAATTTTTAACTTGAGAAACCAAAAATAAGTTTACTCTAAATTTAAAAAACTAAAAATATATTTATACGCACACAAAAATTATTGTATAAAAAATTAATGACAAAGTTGTTCGCTTTATTATAAGTAACAAATATAAGATAAGATAGTCTTCAATAATCTTATATTACTAAAGGCAAAAAACATAAAAGAAAAAATAAATTTTAATTTATTTTTAATTTTCTTTCAATTTTTTAATTGATAATTTTCGATATTTTACTTTATGAATTATAATGTTTGAAATATGAAAGAAATGGTAACATAATATTTGTTTGATTTTTGTATTTTTTACGATTTTAAAAATAAGATGATACATATTGAAACTTAAAAAGGATAAAAAATTAAAGTATTAGAGAAATATAGTTAATAATTAATTAGTGTTTATAATTATTAATATTTTGTGATTTTAATCTATTCTATTATTCACACTAGTAAATAATAAAATATATTTATTTTAAGTTGAATTAACAAAGTGAGAAAGTTAAGTAAAGAAATAAATATAATATTTTATAATTAAAATAAAAAAGTTCATATTGTAAAAAAGTACAATTAGCGTTTTTTTAAGCCTTATCTTTGAGTCTTCATAAATCAAATTAACAGGCAAATTAGAAAACTTTAATGACTTCAAATTTTATTTAAATATTATAATAATTTTTTACATAATATATTATTTAATATTTTAACTAAATAATATCATAATAATAATTAATTTATTATATTATTCATCATTGATTTAATTATGATTTGATCAATAAATTATAAATTAATAATTTATATCTTATATAAAATAATTCGACGGTGCAAAAAATTTTGAGTAAATTTCATGTACAAGATATCATAATATATATAATATATAAATAATTTTTTTGTAAGTTATTCACTAAATAAACATAGTAATTTAGTCGTTCAAGATATTTTAACTACTTAAACAATTTGAGTTCAAGTCCTTTTTTTTTTTTATAAATGTTTAAAATTATTTAGAAACTAAAATGATAATAAATTATATTATTTAAAGATTCAAATAACAATAAATTGTATATGTTAAGAATTTAAATAATATTATTTATTTAAATAGTTATTTGTTATTATTTTGGCACGTAATGTTATTTTGATCTGTAATATGATGTCATGTACTATTCATCTACCTTGTGATCAATGTCACAAACAAGAAACAACGTTCCAATTTATGAGTTAATTTATGAAATTAATTTGTCATTTTTCATATATCAAAATCTAATATAACAGTGCCCCCACAAAGCCAAGGACAAAATGGTAATTCACTTGTAAGAAAGCGCAAGGGTTGTTTCTGCATGTTAAGGCAATCAATGACATTCTGGTTTTAAATCGTCTTTTAACAGAAAAATACACATAATTTGTAAGTAACTCTTTTTTCTCTTGAATTTAATTCAATTTATTCACAAACATAAAAAAGAAAAAATATTTTAATCACTAAATTAGTTTAATGATTAAAAAAGACGAGGTTAGAATAATTAAAAACATGAAATATAAATTTAATTTATATCGGGATTATTTTTATAATTTTTTTATATTAAAAAATATATATTTGATTTTCCTGTTTTATCCTAATCCCTACGACCCAACACAATATAACACAACACCGAGTTCTCAACACTGGAATGACACACAGCATGGAGCAAGTGAGGAACAAACAAGTGGTTCTAAAGAACTATGTCACCGGTTTCCCCAAAGAATCCGACATGAACATTGTTGAAAGCACTGTGGTTTTGAAGCTTCCAGAAGGTTCCAGTGAGGTCCTCCTAAAAAATCTCTACTTGTCCTGTGATCCATACATGCGACTCCTCATGACCCAGGACCGTACTGTTGGAACTGGCACCTACACCCTTGCATCTGTGAGTCCTGCACTCTCTTTCACCACAAAACTTTTTTACTCTTTATCATTGAACATGATTTACAAATTTCAGATTTCACAAGGAACAAGTGAAACATGCCTCAATTTTCACACTTTTAAGAAAAATGTTGATGTAACATCTTAAGCAAAGTGTGTCACTTGTTCAAGGAATCTGCAGCATTGAAAATTTGTTCGGTAATTTGAACTTAACAAGGAGTTGTTGCATGCTAGGAAGTCGGTTGCGTATACCGTGTTGATTTTACGCCTCTTTAGTGAATTGGGTTGATTAGAACAATATTGATTTGATATGCCTAAAAAGTTCCAAGGTTAAGATAGTTTATAAACACTTTCCCTCTTTAATCCATCGAGGCTGACGACCCAACAAGCTTCAAGGCTGACGACCCAACAAGCTTCAAAGTGGGCAATACCTCAGATGGTGCATTGAGAAAATTGAATTTTGAAGTTTATTTAAGGATTTTGAATTTCTAAGGTCCAATTTTAAGAAGAATTATGTTAGGTTGGTATTAGTGCAGCATAAGGAACGGATGAAACATGCATCATTTTTTGTACTTCAGAGAAAAATGTTGGTATAACGATTTTATTAAAGTGGCAATTAGTCAGGGAATTTGCAGTGTTAAAAATACGTTAATCATATGTATAAATGTAGCTAGTAACTTTCTGTTGAGTAATTGCAGCCATTAACAGGATATGGCGTGTCTAAAGTGCTGGAATCTGGACACCCAGATTATAAGACAGGCGATTTTGTGTGGGGGATTACGAAATGGGAAGAATATAGCTTCGTCCCCTCATCTCAAATACGCTTCAAAATTGAGCATACTGATATCCCACTTTCGTACTATACTGGATTTCTTGGTATGTTTTCAACAATTTCAATTTATGTTGATTCCTTGTGAATGAGACACTTGATGTCAGTATGATCTGCAAGCCTAGCTTATGAAGTTTTCATGTGAATGATGTGATAAATAACACCTTTCTTTGTCTAAGTATCACTAAGATAAGGGGTTAACAATCATAGAAGAGATTCAGGGAGGCCTTTTATGTAGCTTGTTTGGGTTTGAGTTCTTAAGAAGGTGTTTGAATATAAGCGTGGTTGAATACAAACTTAAAAAAGTTTTTGAGAGCTTCTCTATTGAAAATAAAAAATTATTATTTTTTATTTTTATTTTTTCAGTAGAGAAGTTCTCAAAAGTGTTTCTGAACTTTGCACTCAAGTAGACTCTGCTTGAAAATAGCTTATGACCTTCTGGTATAAGCCAAGTATTCTGAAGGCTTATCTCAATAAGCTTTACAACAATCCTTATCATAATAAGCTCTTTGAATAAGTACTTATTAAATGAGTGCTTATTTAAATAAACTGTTTACATAAAAGCATTCACAATTGGATGTGGGGTTGTCTAGCTACTTGTTCCTACATTGCTTTTCCCTTTTATTCTTTTGTTCTGTGAAGGTTATATGGCTGGACTTGATTATTTATTCATCTTGGCTAACCAGTTTTGGTTTGGGGGAAAACCAGATTGATACCTTTATCTCATTCTGGATTGGTAGCTCATTATTTTTGTGTATATTTTACATCCACATCTCTGTCATAAACTCCTTTTCGTTCATAATTTTTTATCTAAGAAGCACAGTAACTTCTATATAGTGGTTGTGTCATGTAACCATGTCAGGTACGTATCCATGTTGGATACTGCATGGACACTTCAAATATCGTATCCATATTCTGTATCATGTCTGTTCTTCCAAAGATCTTTTATTTTGCTATTTTATGCTTTTTGTTTTGAGTGTTCATTCTGCTTTATTGAATGTATCTTAGGAAGGTTGCGTGCAAATGTAGGAGTATTCATTCTGCTTTATCTTAATGTATCTGCATAGGTTTCTATGATTTTGTTGTGCCTTTTGAGCCATGATAGTTTCTTCTTTGAACACAGGTATGCCAGGAATGACTGCTTATGCAGGTTTCTTTGAAGTAGGCTCTCCCAAGAAAGGAGAAAATGTTTTTGTTTCAGCTGCCTCTGGGGCTGTTGGTCAACTTGTTGGCCAATTTGCTAAGATGACTGGTTGTTATGTTGTTGGAAGTGCTGGAAGTAAAGAGAAGGTATTTGTTTAATTATTGCTGTTATACATGCCTAAATAAATGATTAATTGGCTTCAACATTAAAATATTTGTTCCTGTTTAAAATACTACTACTTCTATTTTGAATAGCCTAATTACAACCACCAAAGCCTTTCTATCGGGTGGGGTTGAATTAGTCTAATAATATTACAGAAATTCCTAGGAATTTATTTCCTTCAATTATAAATCCTTTGGCTGTGGAAAATTTTGAGGCATGTTGCATACTTTTGTGGTTCTCCAAGACTATTGTTCCTGTTTGTTTTAGTCAATGCAGGGTATTGTTATTAATGCAGGGTATTAGAATTTTCACTCTAATATATATTTTTTTATTCATATACGTGGATTAATGTGTTTATATGTTCATGCTTGTTTACAATGTGTGCAACTTCACCCCTTCCCATTGCACCAAGAAAATAAATTTACAGCAGAAACCATTAGTGCTTGTGCTTCTTATAAAATTCTGAGCAGGAACAATTGTTGTAAAGCAGTGTGATTAACAAGGCTAGAAATCCATTCAGTTTAATATTCACTTAAATGCATGCGTCTTGCATGCAGGTGGATCTGTTGAAGAATAAATTAGGATTTGATGAAGCTTTTAACTATAAGGAAGAGCCAGATCTCAATGCAGCTTTGAAAAGGTCAATATTTAACATTTTCCTGACAGGAATTTTACTGTACACTGTTTATTTCCACAAAAGTAGTTATAAGTTATTGTACCTGATAACACAATCAACACTAGTGGTGAGTAGTGACACTGGATATCAATTTACAAATCAGGTACTTTCCAGAAGGCATTGACATTTACTTTGAGAATGTTGGGGGCAAGACACTTGATGCAGTACTCCCAAATATGAGGGTCCATGGTCGCATACCTGTCTGTGGAATGATATCACAGTATAATCTTACACAATTGGATGGTGTAACAAATTTGGCAAATCTCATATATAAGCGGATTAAAATGGAAGGTTTCATTGTAAATGATTTCTATCATCTGTATCCCAAATTCTTGGAGCTCCTCCTGCCTCATATCAGAGAAGGGAAGGTTGTGTATGCAGAAGACATTGCTGAGGGCCTTGAGAATGGCCCAGCAGCTTTGGTTGGTCTCTATACTGGTCAAAATGTTGGCAAACAAGTGGTCGTTGTTGCTCGTGAGTAAAATTATATATATAAAAATTTTATCCCCTCAACTTCTCTTTGTCGATTTCTTGTTGGATATTAATTTTTCTTTGTATGGTGTATGCGGTCAACTTTCATTGTGTTGGTTGTAATTACTGATTGATTGATGTTTATTGAAAATAAAACCTCCTATATGTGCAATTTTGTTACTTATAATTGTCATATATTGAAGATGAGAAAGAAAAATTCATACGGATAAATATAAAAATATTTTATACGTTGATTTAAATCTACGTAATAAAGTATCATATAATTTTAAATTTTTCTAAAATTTATATTTATCTATAAATTATGATTTTTTAATTTAAACGATTGAATTGTTAAATTTTGATGTAAAATATGACTTATTGAGTAGAATAAGTCTATTAAGACTTATTCTTAGAATAAGTGGATCTCTCTTTATATACATATATATATATATATATATATATATATATATATATCGACAAGTACTTTTCGAAAATATGTTTTATCACCCAAATTTTAAGAGTAAAAATATACTTTTGAATAGTATTTTTTGGGAGATAAAAAGAATACTTTTTGAAAGTATTTTTCAGAAACATGTTTGTTTGTAATTTGCATTATCCTAATTTAAACTTGAATAGGAAATATATATATATATATATATATATATATATATCCACAAATTTATGGACATTTTGATATCTTCTAACAGTAGTGAAGTGTAGGATTGGAGAGAACTCAAGAGTTGAAGTCCAAGTCTTTGGATTAATGAGAAAATGTGTGCTTTGATGTTTTTCTTTCTAGGTTTTCAGTCCTTCATATTACCACCGGCCAAAGTTTAGTTTGTTTAACTAGCCGAAGTTGTTTAGTTATTGAAAGTTGATTGAAGGGTTACACTGATTGAATAGGAGGAAACAAGAAGGGTGTTAGAAAATAAATTGAAAAAACCTAAATAAAACCGATGGAGAGGTGGTTTAATTGTCCAGCCAAGTAGAAGTAATTTACTTTGACCTTTAAAAGATTACAAAACAAGTGTAATAACAATAAATATCTTTAGAAGCACTGTCATACCCTAGAACTCCCACTTAATAACATACCTAGCCATAAAACAGAAATCATAACCTATTCAAATGAAATCCAAACTACAACTAAATATCCAATACACATCGTTTGGGTGTTGAATTTTGAAAACAAAAGAAAGAAAGGACAATTTTATTTTTAATAAATATTATTAAATAATTTTTAACATAACAAAATAAGCATAATAATATTTTATTTCTTATCTATAGCGGATTTTATTTGGGAATATCTATAGGAATGGGCTTTTTCTTGCCACGTAAGTAATGAAATCCTTCTTGCTCTTCAAGTTATGGTGCCAATACTACATAATTGGATTTGGCAAGTTGATAGGCTCACTGGTGACCAAATGGATCAGGGCGAACTTGTGATAGTTTGATATGTTTTCCTTAGATCCAACTCGATGCAAAATGGCCTTTTTCAGCATTTGCTTGAAGATCTTAGCTTCCTTGCTTAGCATTTGGAACCATAAGCACTAAGTAAATGGTCTCCCAACCACCTTAACAATTTATGGCCAAAACACCCACCCTTAACTTCAATGCCCAAAACCTTCCCTATGATGCAGTTTTGTGGAAGATGGCATTCCTATAGAACTTGTAGATGAGTTCCAAGTAGATTACTTTGTAGAGTTTGAAGTAACCCAAAACCCCACAAGCTTTGAGGTTCTCTAGTACTACAACGCCAAAAACATCGAACTTGTATTTGATGTGAAGACTTGCTTTGTTCTTTAACTTTCAGGTGTGGTGCTGCTTTACCAATCTGAACTTGCTTTGGGATGCATTGTTCTAGGGTTAGGGTTTGAAGATTAAAGATGAAGAGAGTGAGAGAGTCTGAAGGTATTCAAGAGATAGTGCAAAATGTTAAGTGTTTAGGGTTGGACATATGTATTTATTACAATTGAGTTCCAAAGGCCCAAAATGAGCGTTTTGATTTTGATGATGTAGAGGAAAGGGGTAAGGGAATCTTTTGAAGTTTTATTGTTTCAGAGTGAATAAATGTAGTATTTTTTGTTTGGAATGATTTCTGGGTTGATTGAACTCAGCAGTCATAAAAAAACATTCAAATCATTATATATAAATATGCATAATAAATGTCGTGCATCTTGTATCGTCCATATGTTGGACAAAAACATGTTAATGGATGCTATATTTGTCCGACTGGACGATGAGTCTTTGGAGGAATATTGAGTTTAGTCACTCCTTTTTAAAGTCCAAATCAAACTCTTTCTTAATTGGATGTAGGCGATTTTGGTAAGCACATCAATCGCATAAGTAATTAGTGATAAGTAGATTTCGTCTCTCAAAGGACTTTTGTCGTATACAAAAATATACACTCAATAACTAATTTAGACAAAAGAATATTCCATTACATGATTTTGATTGGTAAAAGAAATAAAATTCATATAAAAGAAAGATAAAGTTCTTTTTGGTATTTATTCAAACACTTAACAAGTGGTTTAGACAAGAAATTATATGGTATGTTATACTGAGACTAGATTTCACTAAATCTAACTCATCGATTTAAAATACTTAAATCTTCTTTCATATTTAATGTTAATCTCAATCCACTAATTACTCAAATCCTAATTAGTTGATTTAGTAGGTTGCACCTTTAATTACTCAGATTAGGCCTATTATATTTCTCTATTAATAGGTGTTGTAACTTGTTATGTACACTTTATACTCATTTTTCAAATTTATAGTTGATTCCTTTACAAATTTCTCTAAATTCTCTCTCTATCTTTCTCTCAGAATTTTCTCTTTACATTTTTTTACACAATGGAACTACAACATCTTGATGAAGATGTGTTGTTAATCTATTCATCCGATTCGAGGTTTCATTGTAGACACCCAATTTTGTTCGAGGCACATGAACAAGGAAATTGACCTTTAACATAAGACGAAGGAGTTCCCGGTAGCTCGAAAGCAACATTGGAGCAGGCTAACATGACATCTAAAGACCCAAAATGCAGAGGGCCAAAATTAGGATCCCGAAAAATGGATTGTTTCAAGCTCAGAAAAAAGCCTATAACCCTAGGTTAGAGCATCCCATTTTGATCTAGTTTCTTATATGCAAAATTCAAATCTGGAACGAGTCGTTCCAATTCAAATTTTGTATGTAGCAGAAAGGTCCAAAATGACTTGTTCTAAATTTAGAACGACTCGTTCTGGTGAATTTCTATGCCTATAAATAATAGGCTCGTGAACAGTGTTGCGGGTTCAAAATTTAGTCTTTGAAAGTTTCTATAGAGTCTATACGCTTCTTTTCTTCTCCCCCTTGTATTTCCCGAGTTTTGTGAGATAATTTTAGTGTGAAGGGTTGTCAAAACACGTCTTTAACCCAATATTTGAAGATTTCTATAAAGCTTATCTCAGAGGTATTTGCATCAATTTCATCTCTCTTATTTATTTAGATTATCTTGCTTATATGATATTGCCATGAGTAGATAATAATCATGTAGATAACATCTTTTCAAACACTCGGGGTTTAAACTCCTTATTTTTGCAAATATTTATGATAAAGACAATGTGTAAATAATTAATAAGAAAAGGGATACATATTTAAATTACCATTCTTTATTATGCTAAATTCATCATAGTAGGGTGCCTAACACCTTCCTTACACGTAACCGACCATCGAACCCAATTCTGGCTGTGAGGGTCTACTGGTAATTTTCAAAATCTTTTATTTTTTCTGATGTTTTGAGTAAAACATCGGTGACAACTCCATGAACTCTTTTCAAAACCATTAATTAGGGATTAGTCTGGTTTCGTGGCATTCCTTAATTGACGAGATTTTCAAATTTGAAGTCTAAACCATCTGTGGGTAAGATCAGAATTTTTTTGGTTCCGACGGATGATGACTCTAATGGAGACGCTTAAAGAGGGTTAGACTCATTTAGTGACGAATTTAGCATAATAAAAATAATAATTCAAATATTTACCCCTTTTATCTTTTTGTTAAATATTTACCTTTTATCTTGGTTATATTTATCTTTTATCTTGGTTTGTTTATCTTTTATCTTTTTATATTTATCTTGTTTATTTATCTTTTATCTTATTTATAAATATTTATCTTTTGTCTTGTTTTTAAATATTTATTTGTTTGTTTTAGATTGACTTTAAGATCTGTATGTCTGTTTAAATTTCAACACTTGTTTGAAATAAACAATTGTACACAAGCTTTTGCACACAATAGTTTCCTCTATACCCGATGGCATGAGTGTGTGTAAACATAGGGAGTGGTTGACGTACGACCGACCCAAGTATGGCCTTAGAAACTCCAAGACTTGTCAAAAATCACACTCAAGGTGATAACCCGTTACTCTAACTTGAAATACTGCATCAAACCTAGATGTTTGCCAGGTGACGACATGGATACTAAGTCCCTATGATGGGGGCACCTTGGGAGCCTGTAAAGACTCGTGAGATTAGAATCATCTCATACAACGCACTTTCTTTGACAAGGACCACAAACCAAGGATTATGTACGTGATTTTTCATAGGTGTACATTTGTTTGAGCATATGTGTGCTGCATTTGTTGTGACTTTTTGTTTATTTCAAATAGATAAGGAATATTGATAAACGAATGAATATTAATAAAAAATAACAATGAAAAACTAACACTTTTTTGTATACCTTAACTTTAAAACTTCATATAGGATAGCTTATTTCAAAAACAAAAAAAAGATGTGTATAGCAAAAAAAAAAAGTCATGCATCATAATCCGTAATTAAAAACATGATAAAATTTAGGTAGAAAATAAATATCATGTATCTCTTATGATAGTACATTCACATACACCCATTAGAAATGGAAGGCATAGATAATAGCATGCAAAGACCTTTGGAAAAAGAGAACATTCCAAACTACAAGGGTCATCAGTCTATTTCTTCTAGTACTAGAGGAGACTCCGTCGGATTTTGGGATCGTCATCACTCTTTCAAATGAAGCAAAGTCCACATCTTCTTAGGCTTCTCACGATCTTTCAACCTAGAAGGAGATCTGAGTCACTACAGGATTTCACTTACATTACTCGCCAAAGATTCTACAAAGACATGAGCATTTTCGACCTGGTTTTCTAGCTGCGAATTGCTTAT